CTTGCAGGTCTTGAAGGCGTATCTTGGAAGCCATCGTGGGTCACATTGGCAATTTTGGAGGCGAATGTTCAGGATGTGGGTCTTTTTCTGGTGGGCCTGCGGGTTGATCCGAGATCCCAATGGGAACATCCTGGAAGGGCTCGAGAAGGGCTACCCGAAAACTTGGCACGCCGTGCACCCCTCTGCAAGCAGGTGGGACAGCGGATCGAAGACGCCTACGGCGAATCACCGCCGCCCCTGCACTTCTGGTAATTCCGATGTGGCCTAACTTTGGGCCAAAGCTTGGCCGATATATTGGAACATGTGTTTCCACAACCGTGGTGGAAACCCGTGGGGAAACGCTTGGGGAAGGAGGGGAGAGGAGGAAGACAGGGAGGAGGAAGACGAGGAGGAGGAGGAGGAGGAGGAGGAGGAGGAGGAGGAGGAGGAGGAGGACGAAGACGAGGCCTCTTGAGCTGCTGCCTTGCACCTCTCCCTTCCTCCTCTTGCACGGCACACTTCTGGGCACCGCGGACACATCGCCTCTTAGGGAAGTGCGCTGTAGCAAGCCTCTTGAGGCCCTCTTGGAGCCTCCTGGGGACATCCTGGGAGTCTCCTGGGGGCCTCTGAGGGGCCCCTTGGGGGGTGGCCTCTGGGGCTTTTAAAATGTCTTTCTTAGCCTTCGGAGGCCGTCTTGGGGGCCTCAATGGGCTGTCGTGGGTCACTCTGTGGGCGCTTTAGGACCGTCTTGGAGGTATGTGAGGCCGTCTTGGGGGCCGTATTGGGGGCCTCTTGAGCCGTATTGGGGCCCTTCTGAGCGTTTTCGGTTGTCGGAAGCTTGGATTTGCGAGAACGCGAACACGATTCAACCATCTGGGGGGACACGCTGATTTGGCGTGCTGGAGGTCCTCATCGGGCGTCTTGGGGGCCTCTTGGGTTGGAATCATTTGGGGTAATCTTGGCGTCTGGGGCCCTCGCGGGTCATCTTGGAGGCGTCTTGGGGTCGTCTTGGAGGCTATCTTGGCAGTCTTGGAGTCCCTCTTGGGGCCATCTTTGACAGGAAAGGCGACGGGAGTCTGCTCTTATGAACGTTTCCGGGTGGCTGGCGGGTGCCGAAGATTATTCGGAATTTGTTGCAATTTCCCAAGGGCCAGCAAGCAACAGGGGGCAGCGGTTCGAAGACGCCTACGGCGAATTACTGCCGCTTTCCTTTTTGGGAAGCGCCTCTGTGGCCAAATGGCGAGAGCTTGGCCAAGCTATCGGATTATGTATTCCCCCAGCCGTTCTGGAAACTCTTCGGGAAACCCCTCGGGGGTGGATGAGGGAGAGGGTCAGGAGAGGAAGAAAAAGTAGGAGGAGGAGGAGGAGGAGGAGGAGGAGGAGGAGGAGGAGGAGGAGGAGGAGGAGGAGGAGGAGGGGGAGGAGGAAGAGGCCTCTTGGGGCACTCTTGGGGCCTCCTTGGGCCTCTTCGGGGCCTTGGGGGGCTTGTCGGGAGCTTCTTTGGCCGTCTTAGGGCACTCCTGGTCCGTCTGACGCTGTAGGAGGCCGTCTTGGGGCCCTCTCTGAATCGACTTGGGGCCCTCTTGGGGCGCTTCGGGTGGGCGTCTTGGAGACCTCTTGGGCCGTCTTGGGGCCTCTTGGGGACGTCTAGGGGGCATCTTGGGCCGTCATGGGGCCATTTGAGGCCTTTTGAGCGTTCTCTGGGGGCTCTTGGGCCACTCAGACCGTCGAAAGGCCGAAAAGAAGCACATGCCTCAATCCTTCAAGCACCTTAGGAGAAAAACACACAATGCTTTTGGGTTTTCGGGGGCCTTTTACAAGGGCCCATGGAGCGCCTCTTGGGTCGTGTCGAAGGCCATCCTGAGGCCATCTTGGGCCGTCCTGGGTGCCTCTGGGCCGCCTTGGCGACACCTCCGGGCCCAGCTTGGGCCCTCTTGGGGCAATCTTGGCCGCCTTGGCGTCACAACCTTGGAGTCACAACACTGGAGTCCACCACCTGGGGCCATCTTAGGCCGTCTTGGGTGCCCCGTGGGCCGTCTCGGAGACGTCTCTGGGGCCAACTTGGGCTCTCTGGGGCAACCTTGGCCGCCCCGGAGTCACGACACTGGAGGCCATCTTGTGAACGTCTTGGGGGCGACTGGGGCCTAGTCGCCCCCAAGACGTTCAAGTCGCCTAGTCGTTCCAGTCAGACCTACATCAGAGTTGGCGCTGAGGGCCAGGCTTGAATCAGAGTTCCAGCGCAGACATGAATCAGGCCTTTCATCAGAGTTTTGGGCCTGCACAGAGAAACAGAGTTCGCCCCCAAGGGACACACTCAAGACTAGGCCCACGAAGCACGAGCCTTCGGCGGCTCTCTCCGGGTGGCCGACGGGTCGGGCCGAAGGCCCACGGGGATCTTTTTTCGAGAGGGCCACAGACTGCCAAACCTCTGCCACGCCGTGCACCCCCTGTGGTTAAGCACGGGGGGGGGGGGGGGCGGACGACGGAGAGCGCGCCTCGCGTGCGAGGCGCTGGCCGGAGGAAGCCGAACGAGGGGGAGGTCGGGGGGGCCCGGCACGTGCAGGCCCACGGAGGCCACAAGGGCGCTTCCGCTGGAGGCATCCTCGAACACTGTCCCCTCCGTGGGTGTCCGCCGCGCTGGCGACGCACTCACCAAATTGCCCCCTTGCGAGGGCGACGTGCACGTTCGAGAGGACGGCTGGCCTTCTCGGCGGCCGACGCACGGGCGGCGCACGGGCGACGAATGGGCGACGCACCTCCTGTCGCGAAGGGGGGGGGTTCAGCACGCCGGTCGCTTTACTGGGCCTTAACACGTGGGATCTTTCTCAGAGGGCCTCAGGACGGCCCAACACAGCCTAACACGATGGCTCCAAGGCGCCCTACATGTGACCCGGCATGGGGATCTCGTCAGGGACGTCCTCACACAAGCGAGATGTTGTCGACATCGCTCTTGCCCAACATTGCATTTTCGCTAGGGGCTTCCTCACAAAAAAAGAGATGCCGTCGATATCGCCTTGGTCTCGGTCTTGGCTGAAATTACGATTTCGCCAGACATCCTCACACCAGCGAGATCTTGTCGATACCGCTCTTGCCCAACATGGCGATTTCGCTAGGGACATCCTCACAAAAACGAGCTGTAGTCGACTTCGTCTTGGCCTCGGTCTTGCCCAACATTGCGATTTCGCTAGGGGCATCCTCAAATAACGAGATGTTGTCGACATCGTCTTGGCATCGCTCTTGCCCAATATGTCGATTTCGCTAGCGATGTTCTAACAAAATAATATGTTGTCGACGTCGTCTAGGAATCGCTCCAATACGGCCCGCGAGGTTGGCCAGGCTGGCTAACACGGGCAAGCGGGTTGAAACAACCAGGCGGGTCCAAACGGCCAGGCGGGTTGAAATGAACAGGCGGGTTCAAACGGCCAGGCGGGTTGAAACGGCCAGGCCGGTTCCAACGGCCAAGCGTGTCAAAACGCCCAGGCGGCTTCAAACGGCCAGGCGGGCTACAACGGCCAGGCGGGTTTAAACGACCATGTGGGCTGAAACGGCCAAGGATGTCAGCGCGAGCAAGAAGGTGAAAGTGGCCATGCCGATGAAAACAATCACACGGTCGCAATGAACATGCGATTTGAAGCGGACATTCGGGTCAAAACGGCCAGGCGGGTTCAAAGGCCCAGGTGGGTTGAACAGGCCAGGCGGGTTCAAGTGGCCAGGTGATTCAAAACGGCACCGCCCTGGACAGGCTCAAAAGGGGCTGAAGACAGCCCGAGAGTCCCAAGACGGCCCAAGAGTGCCCCAAGATCCCCCAAGGATGAGACAAGGGCGAGGGGAAGAGAAGAGGAGGAAGCACGGACACGCCGGCGGTCTCGCGCCATCGCGAAGTGAGTTGCGCTTTCTGTCCCCGTGCCAAGCTGGTCTGGTAGCCTTCGGCCCACCCCGCCACCGTGCCTGGATTGTGGGTCAGAGGTCTCTTGGATGCAGATAAGGGCATCTTGGGATGCCTCGCGGGGAGCTCTTGGAGGCCTTCGGGGAATCCCTCGGGGGCCTCCTGGGGGCCTCCTGCTGGCCCCTCGGGGCTTCGGGGGGGCCTGTACAGGGCCTCTTGGGGGCCTGCTGGCGGTCTCGGGGGTCCTCTTGGGGCGGAGAGCTCAGTCCGTCAGTTCGGGTTCCCCCTCTTGGGACATCTTGGGCCCCCCTGGGGCTGTCTTGGAGGTCTCTTGGGTGGTCTTGGGGCCCTCTTGGGCAGTCGATCTTGGGCGAAGGCGATGCAGCTAGACTGACTCAAAAGCCTAACGCGAACATTGTTTGTTTCCGACGCTCCTGTGGTTGAGGTACTCGTTTTGATTGCAGCATTGCTTGCACGACCTTCTCCTCCTCCTCCTCCTCCTCCTCCTCCTCCTCCTCCTCCTCCTCCTCCTCCTCCTCCTCCTCCTCCTCCTCCCCCTCTTTCTCTGCTACGCTGGTCTCTTCCTCTTCCTCCTTCTCCTCCTCATCCTCCTTCTCCTCCTCTTCCTCCGTGACTGCCATATGCGCAATTGTCGCCACGATGCATGATGGGTTGCTTCTTCTCTTGTGCATGCTGGTATCGTTGTCCATGAGTTTGACCTTGCGCGCGAACGTAGAGCTGAACCCTCCACATGACAAGCGGTTAAGGAAAGACCCGTGCCGACGAGGTAACGGTTAAGCAGTCCGACATTGTGATGGACTGGACAGCTGCTGCGCCGTCCAAGTTGCGATCGGTTGCGTACTCTCTCGGACGCAGCCTTTATTCATATCTCTTGTATTCATCTACTTCATTTTTGACGGTGTTACTCCCATTCACTTCCGCGACTCGCCCGAGGGCCTCTCTCCCTTTTATGTTGGATCCTTCCTCCCCTTCCTCTCTGATGTTTCCCTCCTCCCTCCCCTTCCTTTACCATCCAGGGGTCCCCGTGACCCCAGCGTACCTGGCAAACTCTACTGCGTACAGCAAGTGCCTTTTCATCGAGCTCCCTACATAATCCGACCTTACCTGGTCAGCGATGGTGGCGGTCTCTAAAACACTTGTGCTGTTTCTGCTGGACTCTGCATGCTTCGGGCGGACCATGAACGCGCTGGACGCGCACAGGCAGGGCGATCAGCACAAGCACAAGCACAGGCAGAAGCACGGGCATAAGCACGGGCACGGCGAGCCGGACGAAGAGTCAGGATCAGGCCGCGCGGGCCGAGAAGTCTGCGGCACGGGAGCGGTCATTGTCCTCCGCCTCCTCCTCGTCTTTCCTTCTTTCCCCCTCCACTCCCTGAGGAGTGGCGGGAGGGGGAGACGGAAGGGGCCAGAGGCTCCAGCGCACCTTGGAGCTGCGGGTGAGGAGGGGTCGGAGATTCACGCAACCCCCACCCCTGTCCATCGGCAGCATGTCCATTCACCGTGCTTCTTTCGGTTTCGCGCGTGTCTTTTTTTGCAAGATGACCCACGGGGCTCCTCGCTGGTCCTCGCCGAGGGTCTCGCTGACTGCTGTCTTGCTGGAGGGGGCTGCATCTGCTCCTAACGGGGGTGATGCCCCCCCCCCCCCCGAGGGAAGAGCCGCCCAAATGGATGAAAATGATTTCCGGGATGCAGGTCGAACCTTCCCCGTGCATACTTTCGAGCCTCTGGGGGATGGGCGGGGGGCAGGGCCGCATCCCTGTGCTGCTCTCCTGGCCTCCTGAGGGCCCATAGTGAACCTCTCTCCGGAGCAGCGCCAGCAGAAACACCAGGAGGAGTTCGAGAAGGAGTTCGAGGTCAAAATCGGGATGCTTCACGCGCACAACACTGGCCTCAGGCTGGGCGTGGTGCTCGACTCGCTCAACGACTGGGAGCCCCCAGAGGTCATATCGTTTCGCAAGCCGAGCCTCATCGAGGAGTGGAACAAGGCGAACCCAGACAAGGCCGTTCACCTTCACGACCGGATCGTGAGGGTCAACAACATATCGAAAAGGCTTACGCCATTCCGCCGACCCCCAGACGAAGTGAGGAGCCCATGGGAGTTACGGCGGGGTACGGTTAGAATGTCTTTCATGACGACACGGATTCCAGCCGTGTTGGACTGACTCATGTTTCACCACCCACCAAACCACCCCAACCCAACCCGAAGGCTCAGATTTACCCTCGATTTCTAGTGGGGGGGGGTCGGGAAACATCGAAAAAACACATGTGGAACCCTTACCCCCCCCAACCCGAAATTCGGGTCTTCGGGTTGGGTTGGGGTGGCCTGGTAGGTAGTCAATGTTGGGAGGGGGACAGCCGTTCATCTCGCACGCCTCTTCGCTCCTGGCAGGCGGGGGTCGGTGGACTCTTCCACCACAACGCGGAGACCTTCATCGAGCGCATCGTGGGGCAGTTCCAGGCGGGCCGCAAGCTGAAGGACGGCGCGAAAGACATGCTGGTCTTGCAGGTTCAGAGGCCGAGGACGAGCGAAATTGACACGACGCGCTTCGATTTCCAGCGCTCGGATCTCCACAACAAATTGTACGCCAAGGAGTTCTTTGTCGAATTGCCGGTGCCCGAAAACGAGACATCGCCGACAACCATAGACAGGGTGTTGGGGTGGGATCTGAACCTCACGACCGATTGGGAGCCCGTTTCGATCGGTAAGATCGCGAACGGCAGCGTGCTTGCCAAATGGAACGAGGCCCACCCGAGCGACATGGTATTGCAGGGCGACGAGATCCTCCACGTGAACAAGAGGCTCGAGAGATGCCAAGTAGACGCCGACACCTGACCTAGCCAGGCCCAGGCTGGACCCAGGATTGGTGCGCCGTCCATGTTGGTTTGGCTGGCGGCCCAGAATCAATTCATACCACACTTGGTTCCAGCACGGGCCTACTTACTGAGGTCTGGTGTCGATGTTTTGTCGACGCCTTCCTAAGTTTGAAGTAGGTCGAGAGTTACGCTTGGAGGGGGCCATCTCAGGGCGGCTGAAGTGCTTGCGCACCCCTCGGGGTGTGCAGAGGTGCCCCAGCTGCTCTTGGGCCGAACCGATCTCCCAGAGGCACTGGCTGCACAACACGTCGCAGTTCTTGCCCCACCTGACTTTCAACTACCAGCACCGCTACGACCGCTACAACGGGACCTTTGCGCTCGGTCTCCGAAGGCCCCGGCGGGTCCAGGAGGCCTACGACCAGGCCGCGGTGGCCTCCCAGAGGGTAATCCGGCCCACGGTTCCCACGCCCACCTGCAGAGCATTTGACCCCGCTTCTCATTGCGCTCATTTTGTTTGTCCTTCCCGTTGCTCTTGGGGGGATTCGTGTGACCGCGGCCAGACGCGGCTCGTCTGACTGGCCAGGAAAGTGACGACCCAGAACGGCAAGGCCTCCTGCGATCGACTTGATGCGGGTGCCAGTCGATCGTGCGAAAGTGTTCCCCACCCCTTCTGGAGGTGGCCCTCCGTGGCTTTGCCTGACGACGGGATGTCCGCGGTGCTCTGGGGCGGGCCTCAGTGCTCGACTTTCTTTCTCCCCCTGTGTATATATCCATGTGTATACAAGACTGCATTGGCGTTTCGCGCCATGCACCCTGGTCCTTGCAGACAATTTAGCGATAACTCCTTGCCTTTTCTAGCATCGCCGTTATGATAATGTTATATGTTATCTTTCCTCCATGTTGGTTTGTCCTCATTCTCGCCCTACCCTGCGAATTCTTCCCCATCCTCCTCAGCTCTTTTTGCGGAGGCTCCTCCTTGGAGAGCCTCTGGGAGCCTCACGGAAGTTGTTCAGGCTTTCTTAAGGCCTTCTGGAGGCCTCCTGGGCGTATTCTGGGGGCCTCTAGGGGTTTCCTCGGGCCACCCTGCCTCCAACCGCGGACTCCCTGAACGACCGTGTCACGATTTGAAATGTTTCGGAGGGTGTCTTGGGGCTATTTGGGGCCGTCATGGGGATTTCTTAGGCCATCTTGGAACCCTGTTCCCAGGCGGTCTCGGACGCCCAGAAGACTGAAGAACAGGGCATTCCCCAAATCATGCAAAAACCTTGGAACTCATTTTTTTCCTGCGTTTTGGAAGCCTCTTGGGGGTCTTCTTTGGGTTGTCTTCGGGCGTCTCGTGGGTGTCTGGGGCCTCTTGGGGCCCTCGGGGGGGGGCGTTCGGCCGCCCTCCTGACCGATTTGGGCTCGTTGCCTAGGCCCAGCAAGGTCTTCCAGTAGCTCTGAAACGCCTGGGGGGCCTCCTGCAGGGACGTCCAGGGGTCTGGGGAAGCTGTGACCTTCAAGGCGAAGCGACGTGCTCTCGCTCAGTATTTCTCATGGGGGTCAGGCGTATCAAATTTTGGATCGGCCAAGATCATCATGACCCGCACGGATGATTGCGAACAGATTATGGTGCAAGTGCTTTTGTTCCGCACCGTGTATACACGAAGATACACGGAGAGTCGACCTTGCCTGACCAACCGCCCGCCCGCGCTCTCTTGGGGGTTCGTGCCTCTCAGGCCCTCGCGCACTCCTGCTTTGGGGGCGCCCCGAGCCTTGAATTTTGGACTCCGCAGTGTCGACCCCGTGACTTTTCAGCCGCTCTAAAGGCCAAGGAGCTCGAGGAGCAGAAGAGCAAGCAGGCCAGGGAGCGAGAGGAGCTCCGCAAGCAGATGTTCGGCAAGGAATACGTTGTTTCTTTGAGTGTGCCCGAGAACGAGACATCGTCGGCATCAATGGGCAGCGTGCTGGGCTGGAAGCTGAATGTCACGAAAGACTGGGAGCCGGTGTCGATCGGCAAGATCGTTGAGGGAGGCCTGCTCGCACAGTGGAACGAGGCCAACCCCGGCGACAGGATACTGGAGGGGGACGAGATCCTCCACGTTAACAAGAGGCTCGGGAGATCTCAGCCACGCGCAGGGGGGGGTAGGGGGAGGGGGGGAGGATTCTTAGAAGCACCCCTGCTTCTTAGATGGGGCGGGCGTTGTTTGCAGATGTAGAACCGGCGCCTTCTAAGAAGCAGCCTCCTTCTCAGAAGTTTTCCGCCCTCCCCGTGCCCCTTTGTGCGCGCCGTCAAAGATATTGGCTGTGCGCCAACAACTGGCGTGGCCAGGCCCGTCTGGAGCCCACGAGCGGTGAACGATAATTGTGGCCCAGCCGGAGGCCAAGCGATCAGTGCACACCAGCTCCGGGCTCAGGACGGCAGTGCCCAGTCCGGTGTAGGCGGATGGCCAGAACCGCCGCAAACTTGGAAAGCAAAAACAGTTTCACGCTCAGCGCGGCTTGTACCCCCAGCGGTCGTGCAGTTTGCGCGACCCGTCACCATGGTGCGCTCGGTGCAGCATCTTCGTTTCTCTTTGACAGGGCCCCGTACAGGCATTGGCTGCACAACACAACGCTGTTCTTGTCGCACATGAGCTTCAACTACGAGCACCGCGCCGAGCTCGCAGCCAACAAGACCTTCACGCTCGGTCTGCGGAGGCCCCGGCGGGTCCAGGACGCCTACGACCAGGCGCTGCTGGCTGCGCAGAGGGCGAAGGAACAGGCCGCTGGCAGGAAAGATCACTGAATTGGCCTCTCGCTGGCTCGTTTCATAAGCAGCGACTGCTGCGTGGGTATAGCGGTTTACGGTTTCTAGATTCTAGCATCTCGACGACACTATAAAAGAGGATGTAACGTTTTATGGTTTCTGACAGTTTTGAGTCAGTGGCCCCTTGAGGCTGGTGGCCTCATGGTACGGGCCGAGTGTGTAGAACAATTGTTGGTTCTAAGGGTAATGGCCGGGAGGTTGTTGATTGTTCGTGACCCCCGTCGTTGGTACCGGGGACGCGCGACAGTTCTCGATTCTGACAGTCGTGATCCAGTGAATCATCGTGGCTCGCGGCCCCCTTGCGAGGGCCGAGGTGTCAGTTCCAGAGGCTCGTAGCCTGGTGGTCTATTGCGGTTTGTGCCCTCTGGGGCTGAGTCGAGTACAGCAGCGGTTGATCTTCACGGCCGTGGCCGCATGGTTTTTCATGGTTCGTGACCCCCCAGTCGCAGGGATCGAGGGCGCAGCGGAGGTTGAGGGGTGCGAACGTGGTGACCCAAGCCAGGAAATCGATATCGGTTTCGGTGCGCGCTGTGGGTTTGGGAGGGGCGACATGGCGCGAGGGTGATGGTGGGTCGGCCGCTGCTGGAGGCAAAGCGGACAAACAGATTCAGATCCCGTGTCTCGCGGTGGGGTACAGGATTGTCCCGTGGATTATCTTGTTGTTGTCCCGTGCTTGTTCCGTGGTTGTCCCGTGGGTTGTCCCGTGGTTGTCCCGTGATTGTTTTGTGGGTTGTCCCGTGGGTTGTCCCGTGGTTGTGTCACGTGGTTATTCCGCGGGGTGTCCCGAGAGTTGTCCCGTGGTTGTCCCGTGTCCCGTGGGTTGTCACGCAGATTGTTCCGTGGTGGCCCCGTGCAAATTATGGTGGTTGTCACGTGGGTTATCTCGGGGTTGTCCCGCGGTTATTCCGCGGGTTGTGTTGCGGTTGTCCAGTTAGTTGTCTCGTGGTGAGTAGAAATCGAGGCACAGGTCGAAGTTCACATCGAAATGCAATCGAACTTCAAGATGAAGCTACAGTTGGCATGCAAATCCAATTGCAACCAAACTACACATTGAAATGTAGATCGCATTGCATATCGAGTTGAAGTTCATTTCAATCGAGACTACAAATCGATATACGATTCGAGTTCCGTTCCTCTCCCCCTATCTTGTCACCCGAAAGGTTTTCCATGACGTAGGATCTGTCGGTTCTGACTGTCGTGTCCCGATGGCGCGTCGTGGGGCCGTGTCTATTCTTACGGCCTTCGTTCGATGGTTTCTTGCTTCGCGTGATCCTCTTCTGGGAGCCGAGGGTGCGCAACAGCTTTCGATTCCGACAGTATTGACCATGTGGAGCTTTTCGTGGTCTGTGGTCTTCGCGTGGCAGTGGCACATTCTCATGCCATCTGTCGGTTTGAGCGGTCGCGGTCCCAGGATCTTGGCAGTGGCACCGAGGGCGCATAACACATGCCGACCCTGCGTGCCGCCTCCCCGTGGCGCCTCCCATGGCCCGAGGCATCCTCGACAGGGCTGAGGCTGCGCAACGGCTGCCAGCTCTGGCGGTCGTGGCAGTGTGGCCTTTCGTGATTCGTGGCTCGTGGCCTGACGTTCTGGGTATGGAGATCGCGCGCGAGAGCTTCACGCCCAGGGAACCGATTCATCAACCTGCTTAGCCTTGTCGACGAGGTCCTAGCCCTGAGTCCCGCTGTTTCTCACCCGCCCTCCGTGGAGCGCGCTCTACGCGGTCCATCGATTTTTGTGGGAAGAGCGATTGCGGCAGTGTTTGCGCGCAGAGCACGGCGTAATGTGCGAGGTAATCGTCAATGGTTTGGTGTGGGAAGCGGCGGAGCACGAGCAGAAATCGATGCGCAAAGCATACAGTCAGAACGTGTATTAAGGACGGATGGCAAGGACGCAACACCCTTGGAGGCCGAAGCTGGGATTCTGTGGGCTGCGGGCGACCAGTGAAAACGGCAAAGGACGGGCCGCAGAGGCAAGGACACAAGGGTACCCTAGATGACGGCGCGCGTCCTCACTAGGCGCGTTGACTGTATCGTGCGTCTTGTCGCAGGTCCCGATGCGCGCGGCGGGCCGACGGTGCACTTCGGGCGTCCGCTCCGACCGTCCCGGCGCTTCTCGCGGCGCGTGGCCCTCCTCGCGGGGTGGCCGAGGGCGTGCGGCGGCGGGCGAGTCCGACGGGCGGTGGCCTCGTGGCCTCGCGGCGTGGCTCTCGGGGCGCACCCCTGCGGAGCTTCGTTGCCTCGACACGAGCTGTGCTGAAAGTGCAGCACGCCCCGTGTTCAAGACGTCCGTGTCAAAACGTGGCGTGTTGGCTCCACGTGTTGGACCACGTTTTGGCGAACGTGTCGCGTCGGACCGACACGTCGATCGTTGAAAGCAGGTATTTCTGGATTCCCAGATCCCAATCTACTTCAAGCGCCTTCCTACTTCAAGAATCGATCTGCTTCTGCTGTGTTTTGTTGTTCTCTGGGAGGGCCTGGACCCAATCCACTTTATCCGCCTTCCTACTTCATGTTTCTACCTACTTCTTCCGACCGACGTGTACGTTGCGTGTTGGCTCCATGTACTGGACCACGTTTTGGCGAACGCGTCGCGTCGGACCTACCTCCTCCTCCTCCTCCTCCTCCTCCTCCTCCTCCTCCTCCTCATTATCCTCCTCCTCCTCCTCCTCCTCCTCCCCCTCCTCCTCCTCTCTTTAGAATCGAGCGCTGCTGCTCTTCTCCTCCCCGTCCCAGCCCCCTCGCCTCCACCCTCCTGCCTCCTACCTCGCCTTCCCTGGCGCTACGATCTCACCACCCTGGGTGCTGTCGACTGCGCAACGGTCGTCACGCTCGTGAGCTGCTGGGAGATCCAGCGGAGCGACGTCCTCGCGGGCACCCAGACTCGGCCTGGCCTTCCCCAGGCGCTGCGAGCTGCGCAGCAGTCACAACTTTCGTGAGCTGCCGGGAAGTCCAGCGGAGGGACGCTTTACAGTCGGGGCGCTGAAGAAGGAACCTTTTTCGCTGGGGAGCGGCTCGGTGTTCCTTGATTGTTTTACAGTTTGCCTTGGGTGTTCCTGAGGTTTTCCATGGAGAATCAAAGTTCAACTTATAGGGAAAGGGGGCCTCGGCCCGACGGTAAGGGCACCCGTGCCAGACCTCGGCCCCCCTGGGTGCTGCCTGCCGCCCAGACATCATCCCTTCGTGGGCTCGCAGGAGCTCCCGGGGGTGTCCGGCGACTTCGGGCCTCGCCTTCCTTTTGGGTGCTGCGCCACGTGCGCAGCGGCCGCCGCTGCGGCAGCAGCCAGTACTGTCCCCGCGACACGTGAAAGCGAAACGATTAACTTTTTCCGAGCTAACTAACTTCGCCCAGTGCGGCCTCGTCGTCTTTCGTAACTAACTTGTCGGGCCCGAAGCTCGCCGTCTTCTGAGTTTCGCTCTCACGTGTCGCGAGGACAGTAGGTCCAGCGGAGCGACGTCCTCCGGGCACCCAAACTGGACCCCGCCTCCCCTGGCACATGCTGCAGGTGGGCTGTGTACTTCCCTGGGGAAGTTCAGTCCAGACGCTGAAATAAGGAACAGTTTGGGTACGAAAGGGGCTCGATGTTCCTTAGGTCATTTTGTGGTTGTCCCTCTAGCCTTCCTCGTGCACGCTGGCACTTTTGGGGCCAGAAAGGAGCTTCGTTCCTTCTTTACCGTTCCTTATTTCAGCGGCCCGACTGTATTTGCATTGGTCTGTTGGAGGGCATTCACGTCCGTGGTGTCTTGACCCCCATGCGGTCAACCCATGCATATACTTCCGTCCACTCCAGAGGCCAAGGCCGACGAGGAGATGCACCGCGTTGCTCGAAAGATCGTGGATGCTGTGAGGATGTGGAACAACGACTTCCCGCGATTTAGGATCGATACAAGCAGCAAGACTGGCCAGAACTCCACCAGCCGAGCTTCGGCGCCGACTAACTCGGCCACTGCAGCTGAGCCTTCCAGCCCACCGAGCAATTCGGGAGGCGAGCAAGATGATTCGGACGACGTGATCGGCGCCACGGAGGAGGAAGACGACTCGGCGACCAGCGGCCCAGCACCGAAGGACTCGGCCGCTGTTGGTAAACCTTCTCCCCCAGCGAGCAGCGCTGATGGCGAGCAAGATGATTCGGACGATGTGATCGGCGCCACGGAGGAGGAAGACGACTCGGCGACCAGCGGCCCGGCGCCGAAGGACTCGGCCGCCGCGGCTAAGCCTTCGTCCCCAGCTAGCCGCTCGGGTGTCGAGCAAGATGATTCGGACGACGTGATCGGCGCCACGGAGGAGGAAGACGACTCGGCGACCAGTGGCCCGGCACCGAAGGACTCGGCCGCTGTCGGTAAGCCTTCCGCGCCGCCAAGCAGCTCGGGAGGCGAGCAGGATGATTCGGACGACGTGATCGGCGCCACGGAGGAGGAAGAGGTGAGGGGATCATTTCTCCAGAACGCAGAACCAGCAGGCTCGGAGTCGGTTTCCGGCATGGCCACGCCGGACGAGGAGCCATGACTTCTCTGGCTCGGCGGAGGGGACCAGCGGCGGGAAGGTGAGGTGATGACTGGGCTGGCGAGCACGCTCACGCCGCAGGCGGGCGAATCGCGCGGGGTTCTGCCAGGCGCTGCCTCTGCAGCCTGGCGCCGCACGCTCCACCTCGAGGCCCCAGTCGATCCCTTGCGTGGAGCCCCTCTGGCTGTCCTTCTGCTCGCCCTCCCCCGCGCTATCCATATGGAGGATGACGATTAATAAATGACCGGGGGTCGTGTTCACGCGGCGGCGCCCGGGATGACGATTAGAAAAAGCTGGCCGCGGGCTGGAAAGCTATTTTTTTATCGTTCTCCTCCAAGTCAGACAACTATGCAGAAATAGCAGACAACTATGTTTTTAATCGTTCTCCCCCATGTTTTTATTGAATCGCTTCGCTCATTCCGCCGGCCCGTGATATGGCATCGCTGGTTTTTGTCTGTGTGTTCGTTGCCCATGTTGCGCTCTTGGGGGCGGGTGTCGTTCGGACGCGTTGCGTGGGGAGTTTTGATGGTGAAGCAGTTCCCTGGGGGTCGTCTCTCGATGGGGCGAAATAGAGTCGTCGTCAAGATGCTTCTTTGGGGGGCCTCTTGGGGTCTGTTGAGAGGCCGTTCGGGGGCGCCTGGGAGACATGTTTGAAGCCTTCTGGGGCTTCTTTTGGGCCTCCTGGGAGTCTCCTGGGGCCTCTTGGCGACATCTTGGGGCCTCTTGGAGGCCTCTTGGGGCCTCTTTGGGACCTCCTGGGCGCCTTCTGGGACGGAGGGCTCCATTTTTGAGTTCTCGGTATCCCTCCTGAGTCCCTCTTGGGCCCGTCTTGGGGCCTCTTGGTCCGTCTTGGGCGGCACTTGGGCCGTCTTGAGGGCTCTCTTGGGTCGTTTCGGCGCCGTCTTGGGAGCTTCGTGGGCCGTCTTGGAGCGGTCTTGGGGGCCTCTTGGGCCGTCTTGGAGCGTCCGGAAGCCGAAAAAGCCAGAACACAAAAAAACATAGAAAAAACCAATGAAAATCAACGATTTTGGCCTCTTGGGGCTCTCTTCGGAGGCCTCTTGGAAGGCTCTTGGGGCGTCTTGGAGGCCTCTTGGGCTGTCTTGGGGGCCTTTTGGGCCGTCTTGGGGTCATCTTCGGCGTCTTCGAGCGCTCTTTGGGCGTCTCGGGGGCCTCTTGGGCAGTCTTGGGGGCCTCTTGGGGCACTCTGAGCGCGCTCTGGGGAGCCTGAGAGGCCGCACCCAGAAGGAAAACCATCTCTGAGTAGACTTGGTCGGGCGGCGGTCGGGCGGCGGTCGGGCGGCCGGGCGTTGGTCGGGGTACTTTTCGCCGGGGGACCCCCAGGGGCCGCCCCGCGCGCGCGAACTAGAAATACTGTTAATACTGTTAACCAGTTACCGGAGATCTTAGCACGCCCTGGCCCGTTGGGCCGGCGAATTATAGGGCGACGCAATCTATACATATCCACTGCTCCCTGGCCAGGCCCATCCTGAACACAGCAGCTGTGTATACGCCACGCCCTCCTGGTTTGGCCAGGAGGGCGTATACACAGCTCCTGGGTTCAGGATGGGCCTGGCCAGGGAGCAGTGGATGTGTATAGACTTCGTCCCCCGATTATTAATCGTCATCCCGCATTCTCCCCGCGCCCCGCCTCGCCCCATCGCGGGGGGCCCGGCCACGCCGCCCCCCTTGGCCGAAGAGCGAGGCCCTCGTCGGCAGTGCCCCTATGCCGCACGGGGCCGCCGAGGAGCTGCCTCGGCACGCATGGCAGCTGCCTGTATACTTACGGGTGTGAAAAACGTGCGGGTTCTGACCGTGGTCTCGCCCCTGCCGGGTCCTCCCTGGAGGCCCCCCCTTCTTGGCATCGCTCGGACGTGTGCATTTTTCCTTCGGCGAGGACCATCGAGGAACATCCTTGATCATTTGGACCTCGGCGAGGACCATCAGGGAACACCCTTCGGCGAGGACCATCAGGGAACATCCACCGAGGAACATCCTTCGGCGAGGACCTCTTCCTCTCTCTCTCTCCCTCTCCCTCTCCCTCTCCCTCTGGCACGCCACGGCGGACTCGGGTGGCCAGGATGGCAGGGGCAGGCGTCTGCCCGCCCCGGCCCGAGGGGCCGAGCGCCGCCCGCAGCAGAGACGGGGCCTGGGGTGCTGGCGGACGGAGCAGTAGGGCGCGCCCAGTCGGGGGCTGGGGTGGTCTCGGCATCGCTCGGACGTGTGCATCTTTCCTTCGGCGAGGACCACCGAGGAGCATCCTCGATCATTTGGCGAGAAGTCCACGCACGGAACCGACGAAAGCGCAGGGAATGGACGTCCGAGCGATGGCCAGCCTTTGTTGCCCATCAGGTGTTCAGATGGTCTGATCATGCTTCCGTGTTGGGGTCCGCCCGAGCCTTCAATGCCTTTGAGGCCCTTGTCGTGCTGCCACACGTGTTTTTGGGGACTGTCACGCACCTTGGAGATGGCACAAGCACGTGCTGCGATCCAGAGATTACTGGTCGTCCTGTCTGCTTGATTGACGACCACCAGGGCCGAATTGTCTGACACGTCGCCCCCATTCGTGATCATTCGGCGGGCAAAGGGTAGAAAACCTTCCAGGACCAGCTGGCCCAACGCACCCCTTCATCTGTTCATGGTCCCCTGGCACATTGCCTTGCGTGGTTCTCTGAACACGACAGTGTTGAAAGATGTAGTGCTTTCAATCTCGTGGCACGATCCCCCACCCTTCATGCTACAGCGGACCTTCGTTCACGTTTTGCGCCGTTTCTATTTGCATCGAAAGGACAGGGATCTCCAGGCGCAGGCGGGAAGGCGTTTGAAGGCCCACTGGACACTTGCTTGATTTCGATGTCACCAGCCATCTGGGGAAATCACGCTTTGAAAGTTCTGGTTTGCTCTGGCTCTGCCATGTCTGGAGAGTCGCGGGGGGGTCTTCGCGGGACCTCCATGCTACTTTTGGTTTGTGACTGCAGTCTGGAATCTCAGGCCTCCGGCATGTGTCTGGTTTCTGGGATCCCGGGGCTTAGTCTTAAGTCGGGCCTGTCCCTCTACAGGGGGAAGATTCAACAATAGTCAAAAAATAGTCTGGGGACTATTGTTTGAATATGTTTGGGCATCTTTCGAGCATTTTCTGGGTATTCTTTAGTTTTCGTTTGAAATCCCCCTGTAGGGGGACAGGCCCGACTTACGCTTAGTGTGTGGGCGAAGGGAGCCGCAAGGCGCCTAAAGTCCCGCGAGCTGGTGCGACGCTTGCTGTGTGCTTCGGGGGGGAGGCTGAGCAGCTTTCTGACGCAGGCAAACGGCATTCGGGATTACACGCCAGTCGCTGAAAGTAGGTAATTCTGGATTCCCCGATCCCAATCTACTTCAAGCGCCTTCCTACTTCAAGAATCGATCTGCTTCTGCTGTGTTTTGTTGGTCTCTGGGAGGGCCTGAACCCAATCTACTTGATCCGCCTTCCCACTTCATGTTTTTACCTACTTCCTCCGACCGACGTGCACCCCAGAGTTCGTCGTTATTTCCTGGGTGGGCGGCATCCCGGGTGTTGTTGGAAGGGGGGCAGCTGAGTTGGCTTTGGCTTCAGCCTGGGTCACATTCGAGCTCGTGGCATTTAGTTGGGCAATCGTGGTGGGCAACCTCTGTGAACATCCTTTGCGCCAAAGCTCACGAATGCGCTGTTGTACCAGGAATCCTCTCCACGAAGCCCACTTTGTTGTTGCCTTCACAATATTCCCTTGGCGGCTGCTCTTCAGGTGCGGTCGAGGATTTTGGCTTAGCGTGACGCTGCGGCGGTTCTGGCCCACCCCGCTCCAGTGCGACACGCTACCGACATCCAAGTCCCCAAGCGTCAACGTCCCGAGCTTGCCCCAGGCCCCCGTCCGCCAAGCGGAGCGACACGCTGCCCGCTTGCACGACACAGCGTGTCGCAGAGGCCGCCGCCACGACTTGCTGAGCCAAGGGGTTCCTGACGTTGTGGTCTGGGGGTGTCTCCTGCAGTCTCCCAGGGGAGCGTTTGGTTTTAAGCGCAGGAGATGGCACGGGCCGGTGTCTGTTGACCGCGTTCAAGATGTGTTCTCGAGGCTTCCTTGGCAGTTTAGAGTGCTGCTTCGTGCAAGAGGCCTGTCACTGACATGCCCTGAGATCCAGGCGTTGCATTTCTGTTCACACTGGGAGTTTTCGCCTGGGTTTCTTGCCTTGGGCCCATCGCCGATCGACCCGGCCACAAGCATGTAGAGGAAAGCTGGAGTCTAGAGCTCTGGTCGCGTTTTTTCGCGATGTTGCATCTTTTCCGCAACGTCGGATCTCAGGAGGGGGGGCAGACCTCCCCTGGGGGGGAGGAGGAGGAGGAGGAGGAGGAGGAGGAGGAGGAGGAGGAGGAGGAGGATGAGGAGGAGGAGGAAGTGGAGGAGGGGAAGGGAGGAGGGCGAGAAGGAGGACACCTGCCCCCCCGCCGACTTTCCTGCTCGACCCCGAGCTGACCACCACCGCGGACGGGAGCTGCCTGCGAGAAGCGCACTGCCTCGGCACTGCCTGGCGAGGGGCGTCCCCGTGGCTGCGCGTGGACATCACACGCCTCAAGACGCACACAGCACGCGGGTGCGCATGCAGGGGATGAGGAACGCGTGGCTCGCAATGGGCGTGAACTCCAAGGAGCTCCCCGAACCTTGTCACAGCCAGCAGGGCCATCAACAGGGACTCGGGGCTCACGTGCGGTCGGATCGAGGCGTAAGATCGAGGTCGGTTCGGGGATGATGTGCAGTAACGTTCTTCGTGTTTGCTGGATGTTCTGGCGCATCCTGGGGGAGGGTACCCTCGAATGTTCTTCAGTTTGGCCGGAGGGGGTTCTCATGTTCTTGCAGGATGTGTTTCTGTCCTGAGTCCATCCGCATTCCACGCCCGAGACTTTTTGCGGATCTGCGCTGGCGAATTGTCTTGCCTGCACGTCTGTCTGGGGGTACCGATGGGAGGCACGCCCGCGCGCGTGGGCAGTGCGCAGTGCT